ATTATCGTTTTAGTATAAAACAATGATTTATACTAAGAGCAGTGGCGATACATTGGGTTAAATTTGACACTGTAGACTTAACAGTGTAATATAAACAGTGTATAATATATAAATCAATGATCATGAAAAATAGAAGAAAACTCTTAAACTATATTGCTAACAAAAAAGTAGACGGCGCGATTATAAATTGCTATATTTTGTTATCAAATATAAATAACGATGAAGGACGTTGCCAGATCTTTAGATCGTCGATCTCGAATTTATTACATTAGACGAAATATTTTACGCTGCTTGAACTTCGTGATTTCGACGACGTTCAATGAAGCGTCCAACACGGTGGTGTTATCCTTTCGCTTTTCGCGCGGAAAGGGTGAAAGTATCATAGAGCCAGTAAACAATCGCGGAGGCGTGATCGTCTCGATCGTCCACATCGTTAAATTCATGCTTCGAAACGTGACGAGTACGGTGCCGCCTTTACTTTTACATTTTCTCATCCATATCACGACGCTGTAGAAAAAAAAAAAGAAGAAATTTCTCTCTCGGTTAAGAGAAATTATTAGTTTCTATAAAAATCCTCAAATTCTCTCTGTGAGAAATCTAGAGGGGAGGGGGGGGGGGTTGACTCTTTGAGGATCTTCTCTTTCCTCCATTCCGTCATTTGATCTTCTCGTTGTACCGGTACACCACTCAAGGACAGATTCATTTATTTTGCGGTCTAATTCACGGTGCGAATGTTATTTATGACGCCGTGGGCGCGAACGTGGAATAGCCTGTAATCTGCACGCGTGCCCCTGCACGAGCGTCTCCGAGCGTCGCCAACGGACTTCTCTCATTCACGCGTGCACGTGTGTACGCGCACTGTACACGCGCCCACGCACGAAGGCGTCTCGCACGGCCGCGAAGGAGGGAAAATGTACTGCGCGTTGCTCTTCGTCGGAGCAACGTAACTGCAACGATGTAACAGACGTTGAGCGCACCCAACGATTATGCCGCAAAGACAAAGCGGGAATTCAGCATCTTTTACCTTTTCTCCCTTCCCTGATTTCCCCGTCTCCCTTTCCTTTCCCCATTTTTTTCCCTCAAATCCTTCCCTTCCTTTATTTTTTGCTGCCTCCACCTTCTCTCCTGACCTTCCTTTTCATTTTTTTTTCCTTCCTCTTCG